CTGCCCCCACCATTCCTTGCCACGCCTTCCTCTGAGGGCAGACCCTGGCAAAATGTCCCGGCTGTTGGCAGAGAAAGCATTTCTTGGCGGTTTCCCCCTCCTTCTTGCGAATCTCGCCAGAGTTTGAAACCCCCCCCGCGCGCGCCTCCAATCTCCATTGGCTCCGCTGGCGGCTGAGGTTGCTCTGGCATCTCAGGAATGCAGTTGTCATGCCAACGCTCGCTCTCCCTTCCCGCCTTTACATCGCCCGCGTCTCTTGCCGTACTCCCACCGCAAGCGCCCTTTTGGTCAGCTGGTCCATCGACTCCGGGCGGGGCGAGCGGGAAAGTTCATCTTTTACCCAAGGGGATAAACCTTCCTCAAATAACATCTGCACTGGTTCCGAACTCAGTTCCCACCTAAGTTTGTGGATCAACATGGCAAAACGTGACCAGTACTCCCTCACTGATTGGTTCCCTTGTTTGCAGCTCATCAGTTCCTTGCGCGTCATGCTCAGCTCCACTTCACTTGAAAACATATGGTCCATGGCGCTAAAAAATTTCCTGAGATCCTTTAGCGCGGCATTTTCGGACGCCATTAAGGGTCGAACCCATTCCCTGGCCCCGTCCTGAAGGTGCCCTATCACAAAAGCCACTCGAGCCCCGTCATCCACAAAGTCATCATACTGCAGGTCCAGCGCATACTGCACCTCTATCTTAAATGCGTTATAATCTCTGGGGTTGCCCCCAAACTTCTGCACTAGTCCCGGTACCTTCCTTGTGATAGGGGTGGGCTTCCCCTGGGCATCCTGAGTCTGCCTTTCATCCAGCCGCGCTGCCAGAATAGCCAGCTGTTGTTCCAAATCTCTGTTTCTCTCCTCCAGAGTTGGTCCTCCCCTGGCCCCCTCCGCAGCGCCTGCTCCTCTGGTTTGACTCATGACGGTGCCCCTCTTCTCCTGCGCACAAGCAACGTAAAAGACTGAAGGATTGCTGTAATGGGAATTGGGGTTGCTTGTGTGTAAGCCACCAACTGCTCCAAGCTGCTTGGGTGGTTAAACCTTTCCCTGGCTGAACAGCCCTTATGCACAGCTGCCTCAGTCGCTGGCAGAATCCGTCAGTGGACGTTTTCTAAACTTCTTCCAACCTAAGAATTCTTTGACTCCAAGTCTCCGCCTAGATTCTCTGCGCGGAAGCCTTCTGCACAGAGTGGGCGTGCCAAGCGGACGTCCTGCACTCTCCCCCGCTGATCTCACTGGAAGAGTCCCTGAGCCTTCCCTCCGAAGTACTCTCAGCCTCCCCTTTCTTCCTGGTGTCATCTTGATTCCCTTCCCCCGCGGAAACTCTCTCTCTCTCCTTGCTAGTTCCCTCCCCTGCATCATTGGGGCTACTTCTCTCTCCGCTAGTCTCAGATGTCAGTTCCCTGACACTGCATGACTATTAAAAATCTAGTAAACTCTATCCACCATCTTTATATTCAAGGCCACAATATGGTACATCTAGAGATTGTATGTAACGTGAAGGAGATTATGCGTTGAAATATTTTAGCTGATATTTTAGAATGTAAAATGCTATTTTATTTATTGACTGGTTTTACCTTGTGGGCTTATAGCCGAATAAAGTATTATCTATCTATCCTTTTTTAGATATTGTTCAATTTTATTCCGTTTTTTCCTATCGTTCATCCCATTAATATTCCAATTCCATAATTTTAACGCCATCTTGGTATCCTAATTAATTAAATTTTATTTAAAATTTTATAATCTTTCTTCTTCTTCTTCTTCTTCTTCTTCTTCTTCTTCTTCTTCTTCTTCTTCTGTGTTTCTTCCATCTTCTTCTTCTCCCTCTCCAAATCCTCTTTCCCCCTTAGCTCCTGCTGCTGCACCTCTTATTTCTTCCTCTTCTGGTCCTTGTATCTTCTCAGAAACTTGCTTGCTTCCTCTGGGCTTGTGTGTTTGTGTTTCTTACTTTTATAGAAAAAATAGATCCCCTCTGGAAATTCCCACTTGAAATCTATTTTGTTCTTTAACATTTGCACCAATGGTTTATATGGATCTCTCTGTTTCAACAGTCTGATTGGTATATCTTTAAAAATAATTATATAATTCCCATCAATATTCAATCTTTTCTCTCTGTTCTTCTCCTTGAATATAATTAGTCAGTCTCCCGGAGATTTCCTTGTCTTAGTTGTTCTTGCCTTCATTCTAAATGCATTTTGCACTGTCATAGCTACCTCCTCTGGTTGAAGTTCTAACCATTGTGCTATTTCTGCAATCAGTGTCTCTTTAATATTTTTACCCTGCACCTCTGGTACAGCTCTCAACCTCAAATTAGTCTCCCGCTGCCTCAATTCATTCATAGCAATCGCATCCAAGACTTCTTCTTGTGTTTTATTAATCTCCGACATTTCTACCTTTATTTTCTCCTCTTCTCTCCTCACTTCCTTCATTTCCTGTTTTGTCCTCTTCATCCCCTCCTCCAACGTTTGTGTTCACTTAGTCACATCTTTCAATTGTCCCTTTAATTCATTTACTGTTTCATCAATTTTTTTGTCCATTTTTCCAATCCTTTTGTCCATTTGTTCTAATTTGGCCTCTAAATTTTTTTCACTCTGCTTTATATCATTTTTAATTTCTCCAAACATTTTCAATATTTCTCCCTTAAAATCTGACTCTTGTTTTGAGCTTCTCCTATCTGCCGGTGTCCCCCCTTCGCTTGTTTTTTTCTGCTAGTGCGACATATCTTTTAGTCTCTTCACACTCCTACCAAAGTTAATTAATGCACCAAAATTAGCACAACCAGTATATAAGGCCCAATACAATATTTAGCAAAACCCAATAACATATAAAAACTAACACCGAACTCCTCTGATCAATATATCAACCCAGGTATTTCCTACATCACAAAATAAATGGCCATAATAAAAATAAAATATTACCCAATGGAGATACTCTTATTATCTTAAAAAATCCCAAAGGAGAGAATATAATCGTGATTGTACTTTTAGCCTTTTTGTTAGGAGAATTCACTAATTCACAGTCCTCAAATTTCAAATTTTTGCAAAGGTTTTAAAACTTTTCATTAATGAAGAGACGATAGGAAGACGAAAATCTTCTTGCCACCACTTAGGCTAATTCCAATCCATCATTTCGAAAATAAAATGCAACAGGGGAAGAAAAGGACCAAACCATAAAAAAGTAAAAAATAATATATTTTCTCAGTTTTGTTATTGCCAGTTATTTTAGATTTTAGTTATACTCCAATTATAATCCAATGTAGTCTTCAAACTCTCCAATCCCAGATTAGTCCAAGGAAGGAAGTAAAGAAGAAGTAGCAGAAAACCATAAAATAAGTCCCACAAAAAAGAAAAGAAAAAGGGAAACAAAAACAAAAATAAAAATTATATCCAGAGCAGGATTCTTCTGAGGGACGATCTCAATCAGTTGTCAGCCTTATCCATTCGTTAAAACCACTCTACAAAGCTTCTGCAATAGTGTTATACTCCAACGACAAGGGAAGGAAAGGGGGGAGGGGTAGTGGGGGGGGCAGTGTTTTTTTTAGAAGTTAATTTTGACGCTCACCATCAACCCTTAAAACCTGTGGCATTGTTCAATTTCAAAAGTCAGATTATTATAATCTATTACAGTGCATAAAACTTCCCCTTTTGTCCGTTAAAATATTCACTTCTCCAAAAACGTTGAAGAAGAGAAGAGAAGAGTTTGGATTTGATATCCCACCTTTCACTCCCTTTAAGGAGACTCAAAGCGGCTAACATTCTCCTTTCCCTTCCTCCCCCACAACAAACACTCTGTGAGGTGAGTGGGGCTGAGAGACTTCAAGTATAGCAATGTAACAATGGCGACGGAAGTCCATACATCCAGTTGTGCAGTTCTTTATTAAAAGTGAAACTAAGAATTCCTTCTAATCTTGTCTCTTTCTTTCCCCCACCAACACACCGAAGATTTGCCAAAAATAACAGTCAAACGTCCCTCTGCTTCCTCTTCTGTTTCTTTTTTATCTTATTGCTAGTTCTTAGCTATTTCCTTAGCTTAGAAGTTTTAGAGGAGAAAGTGGCAACGACCGCTAGCCATTACTCACACAGCCCGCTCCCGCTCTGCTGACAGTTCTGTATCTGTTTTCAATTGCAGATACAGCTGAACTCCATGTTTAATTCTTTTTGCTCCGAAACCTTCCTTTAGCCTTGAACTTCCGAATTCTATCCCAATTAGGTCCGAATTTCTTAAGCTTGAGTGTCGGTCGCTTCCCTTGCAAGTTCGGGGCTACGATTTTTAGAGGATAGTTAATGGCTTCCCTCTGCCTGCTTCTCTCTCCGCCGTACTCTCCACCCTTACAGGGCTACCTGACGGCCAGGCGATTTGCAAATTGGCTTGCCGGGAACCAATTCAATAAAAATCCTTCCTTAAGTAAAGTTATTTTCTGTTTCTTTGTCCTTCAAATGGAATTTCCCCTTTCACGTGGCTGGAGGACCAGACGGGGAGACTGCCATAGAGTGTCAGGAAGAAAGGCACAAAAAGTAAAGAAGGGAATGAAACCTCCAAAACACGGAGAGAGCAGAAAGTGAGGGAGGGAGGGAGAGCAGATAAAAAGAGAGAGGGGGGAATAAGGGTGGGGGAAGGGGATACACGAGGGGCGATAGAGTAAGGAAAGGGAGGGGAAAGATCAGGAAAGAAGAAGAGGGGGGAGAGGGGGGGAAACAGGAGTAAGAAGTAAAGATAAAAATAAAAGTCAAAGACTTATTCTCCATGTTGTATTCCAAATACAAAATCTTCTTTTTCCGGTTCCTTATCAGCTTAATCCATAAATTCTCCACTCAAGACCGATAATCAAGCATTATAAAGCGTACCGTTTATCTCCTCCCCCACACAGAGGGCGAAAAAAGCAAAGGAGAGGCTCAGATAGAACTTCAGCAGATATTCACAGCAATCCCCCAGTCTCTTCTTTCTTGCTCCTGCAAACGTACCGACTGTTACTCCAACATAGACTTCTGCCCAACCTCTTCACAAACAGCAAGAAAAAAGCAGAGTTCACGGGTGTTCACTGGTGGGCATTTTAAGCTCACTCTCCGACCCCTGGCACAGGACGCTTCAACCAAGACGATACAAAGAAGTTTTTCCTCCCCTTCTATGCCTCTCTGTTGTTTCCCCACAAATCGTTACCTCAGAACATAGTAACCAAGGATTTTCTGCGAACCTCACTTGGCGGCTGCTTTCTTACTTTCAGTCCTCTCTCAGTCTTCCGCCAGACGCCATTTTCTCCCTACCGCTGGGACGGACTCCCTTTTTTCACCCTCAGCACTCCGCATCTTGTTAATTTTCTTTTCTAAAATCCGCAGATAATAACTGCTTTAGTTTTAGTCCAGATTTGTTTTCTTTGTTTGGAAGCTGGCCGCTTTCAGTCGAAGCTTGAGACTGCACAGCGCGGGGTCTGCTGCTTCCCCTCAGTGCCTGCAGCTCAATCCCGTCCCCGAGCTTAAGTTTAGCTTTAAAGCCTGTGAAACAGGAGAGAACGTCCAGGCTCTGCCAGGTACTCTGCCCCCCAAGATACTCCTCTCAGGGTATGGAGGTCCACGTAGCCTTCGTAGCCCCTCTAAAGCCCCCACACTACTCGAGACCCCCCTGAGGGCTGCCTCGCGCTTCTTTCCCTGATCGCAGCTCAACCGGAAGCCCCCATCCACCTCAATCTCTTAATGAATCACCTGCACAGCCCCATTGGCCTCAGGAGGTCCATACGGACGATGTGAGACCCAGGTCTACATCTTTTCCAGGGACGGTGGCCTGGGTCAGTCAGAGAACTAGTGACAAGGCTTGGTGCTTGGCGCCAGCTGAATGGGTGCTCAGGGAAGCTCCTGTTCTGGGAGATGGACCTCCATCTACATGCCTTGCATTGCATGGAGAGAGCAGGAGAAGTGGAAGGAAAGCAGCTGGCACATGGGAATCCCAGGCGGAAACACCCACCCCAATGGTGCTTTATAATGATGATGTGCTGCCTGATCTCAGGCCCGTCTTTTGACCCAGGACTACCCTAATCTGGCAGTGAATATTAGCTGGATATTAAGGGCAAATAGATAACTGTACGTAATAGAAACTTCAACCTTGAATACGTAGTATTGAATCATTAATGGCCTGAAGTTGTGTTATTTCTGGAGACATGAATTTATTCCGGTTCTGTCTCAAATATCATAATTATAGGATGTCATGGGATGTTAGAGGAGCGGTAGTTCCTTTAGTGGGGGACATTGTCATGCACCTTCTGCAGTAAATTATCCACCCTTGGTGCCCACCCTGCACTCAGCTCTCACCTGTGGCTTCCAGAAGCTGTCAGCATGCAACAGGGGTTCAAGCAACGGCTTCAACCGGCCGGCTAAACCAGGTGAGGAAAGCTGATGGGTCTCAAATCCTTGGGGGGCTGGGGAATTCTGCTGCACCTGAAGTCAAGCCCTGGTGGATGGAGAGGAGGAGAACAACAGTCAATCCCACAGTCCAGAAGGCAGATTCTGCCTGTGCTGAAGAGGAAAGTGAAGGGCAGATGGGATCGTCAACCAGGGAAGGGAGCCCATCGAGAAGGAAAACTCTGGTCCTAAACATTTGCGGCCTCGTGAGTTATTTTCAGGAGAAGAAAAGGCTATGGAGGAAAACCTGACACAAATCTTGAGTGGAGTTTCTAAGATGCTTGGATAGTGCCCTGCACACCTCCTGCCAGCAACTCCTGCAGCCAAGCTGGTGCCTAACATACTGCTCTGCTGAGAAGGGGGTCTTCTTGTCTAGGCAGCCCAGGACCCCCAAACACACTGCCCAGGCTGCCATTGCTGCTAACACAGCAGTTTCAGGTGGAGAAATCAGCTCAGACCTGTGTATCAAAGTCTCTCTGATGTGGAGCAAGGGAAACAGAAGCGCTACTTACATCATACAGCACTGTAAAAGTATTCAAAATATTCGGTTTTTGAAGAAAAGACCACCATGTATCAGGTGGCCCCTTGAAAGCTAATGAATGTATTGTGCCTGGAGCTTTTGGGGGTGCAGGACCAGGAAAGCTTCTGCAACCATTAACCTTCCAATTGGGATTCAGGCCTCATCATGGAACTCACACTGCCCTGGTTGCTGTGACTGATGTTCTCTGAATGGTCTGAGGGGGAAGCTGTTTCCTGTTTCTGCTAAATCTCTCAGTGGCTTTGGAGACCTTTGGCCACGGTATCCTTCTGGACCCTCTAGGGGAGATGGGGGAACTGCTGTGCAGTGGTTCCCTCCTTCCTCCTGGGCCATGTCCAGAAAGTGGTGGGGGAGGGATGAGTGTTCAGACCCCTGGGCTCTCACTTGTGGGGAGCCTCAAGACTCCATCCTCTCCCCCATGCTTTTTAATATCTATATGAAGCTGGTGGGAGAGATCATCAGGGGTTTTGGGCTGGGTGTTCACCAGTATGTGGGTGATACCCAGCTCTTCTTCTCATTTAAATCGGAACCAGTGAAGGTGGTGAATGCCCTGTGTTGGTGCCTGGAGGTGGTTTGAGGATGGGTGGCAGCTAACAGATTGAGGTTGAATCCTGACAAGACAGAAGTACTGTCCCTGGAGGACGGTCAGATGTGGAGGATTCCCTGGTCCTGAATGGGGTAACTGTGGCCCTAAAGGACTAGGGGCACAGCCTGTGGGTCATTTTGGACTCACAGCTGTCCATGGAGGCGCAGGTCAGTTCTGTGTCCAGGTCAGTTCTGTCTGCCAGCTCCATCTGGTACACTGGATGAGACCCTCCCTGCCCTCGGACTGTCTTACCAGAGTGGCGCATGCTCTGGTTATCTCCAGTTTGGACTACTGTCATGTGTTGTACATGGGGCTACCTTTGAAGGTGACTCAGAAACTGCAACTAATACAGAATGCGGCAGCTGGACTAGTAACTGGGAGCAGCGGCGGAAACCACATATCACTTGTGCTAAAGGATCTTCCCTGGCTCCCAGCACATTTCCAAGTACAATTCACACTGTTGGTGCTGACCTTTAAAGTGTCATAGTTGCATTTTTCAGGCATAGAAAAGTATTGATCTAATGTAGAGAGATCAATCATTCCTGGTCTATTGCTTCAAGAAGGTTCTGGTGGTTTTGCTCTGTGTGATTCAAAGCTGGAGTTTTCTCTAGCTGGAACATTTTACCTGATCAGGGAGTTTCCTTTCTGCTGAGAGCAGGTGGTGGAATAAGTTGTAATGAGATTATGCTGAACCTTCCTTGATTTTGGGAACCAGATGAAGCTGGTTAAATTGGAGTGAGCCAGGCTTGTTATCCCGTCCCAACGTTACTCTGACACTGAATTGTTTATAAATTGCAGTATTGAAAGGCGCCTGGTCCCACTTCCTATTCTGCTATTTCTCTACTCTGCTTGTGTGTGTCTTACTTGAGTGCTAGATTCAGGCAGGTAGCCGTATTGGTCTGACGCAGTCAAAATTAATAAAAAAGGAATTTCAGAAATACTTGAAAGACTTGTTGCTGAAAAGAGACTTGGAAGAGAAGTTGCTGAATTACAACTTATTACTAAACTGAAAACAATGGAGAGACCTGGTCTGAATAGAGATATTGGATTCTTGTCTCATTACACATACTAAAGCTATTTTTGGTCATCTGCATACTATCCCTTGCTTTTTCCTGTAGGACTAATTGCAGTCATTAACAGTTGTCAACAGCTTTACCATACCCATCTCCTACTACCCTTCTGAGAAAAACCCCACCCCACCCTCCCACTATATATAAGGGTCTGTCTAGTGACTTCTGTTTCAGTGTATCTGAAGAAGTTTGCATGCACACCAAAAGTTATACCCAGGACAATCTTAGTTGGTCTCTAAGGAGCTACTGGACATTTCTTTTTATTTACTTGAGTGCTGCTTTGGTATGCCAAGTTAGGTTTCTATTTAAGTTAGGGCTTTGCTATGTTTAGGATCCTGTTATGCTTCTTTGCATTCAGTAATAAATTTATTTGCTGAATAAAATGTTTGCTGCCTCTTTGCGTTTTTTCCTACTCTGCTAAATATACGTCGGACTTGCTCTGGAGGTCATTATGGAGGAGCAAGATCTGCGAGCTGAAGTCCTCAACAGCCTCGGCCCTGTAGAGCTGAAGGAGCGTCTCCACCCCCATGGCTCAGTCTGGACACTGAGGTCCTCTTCTGAGGGTCTTCTGCTGGTTCCTTGCCTGCGAGAAGCGAAGTTACAGGGAACCAGGCAGAGGGCAAGGAAATGGGCAGCTACCTGACATTTGGAAGACAGCCGAAGGCAGCCCTGTATCGGGAGGATTTTAATGTTTGATGTTTTACTGTTTTTTATATGTGCTGTAACCTGCCCAGAGGGGCTGTGGAAACCCAACCAGAAAATGGGTCGTTTGACTGGGAAGATTCATGCAGTCGCTGTCATCGGATGCTGAAGGATTGTATCTCAGCTTGTCAGTCCCTCTGACATTGCCTACAAAGAATAGGCGGAACAGAAATGCTTTTGAGGTGCAACTTCTGTATCATTCCTGAGAACCATTCCATGGACTCTGCACCCCCGTTTCTGATGACAGGTGTACATTATCCTCATCCTCAGTGGAAAAGACAATAAAGATGGAAGCCTGAGAGAGAGGAAAAGGTTTCTGGCTGCTTCCTGGGTGGGATTGCGGAAACCAAGAGCCGCTTCTGAGAAGGCCTCCCCCCTCCTCTCTTCCTCTGGGGATTTCCTCTCCTCTCCAGGGGACCAGTGGTTGGACTGGGCAGAAGCGCTGTGTCTGGACAGGGCAGGGGCTTATGGGGTGGGAAGAGGATGGAGATTGCAGGAAGGGGTGGGGGGACTGGACCCCCCAGTTTCCAGGGATCCCTCTCTGGTCGCCTTGAAGGGGTGGCATTCCTGGGCGGGAGGGAGAAGCCAAGGCGGCCCCTCCGGAGATCCCCAGCGGGCACCACCATGGAGAAGTCTCCCCAAAGACTGGTTTCCTATCTCTCCCTCCCCCAATGCTGCCCTTCCCTGCCCCAGGGATGCTCCCCCTCCCCACTTCCTCGATTCCCTCCCTCTGTCCCAGAGTCTCCCCTGCACCCAGAGGCCCCGCACCCCTTGGCGCGGCTCACCCCTCGCCCTGCGACCCCCATTTCTCCGTCCAGAAGGGCCCCCCAAGACGAGCAGGGGAGGGACAGGGGGGGGTCTCTATCCAGGCATCCCTCACTCCCATTAACCCTTTCATGGCCCACCTCTCTCCGCGCGGAACCCACAGCGCCCCAGGGATGCCTAAGCGGGGGAAACGGGGCGAGGGCGCTTCGCTGGGATCCCCTGGATGGGCGCTGCATGTCCGCCCCTGCCAAGGCACCCAAGGGGCCAAGGAAAGCCCCCTTCGCAGCACGCGCGCAGGGATCCAGGCCCCACGGAAGGCGCCTGGGGGAGCTGGCGGGGGTCTCTGAATCCTTCTCTCCCGTCTCCCCTTTCCCCTCCCCCGCGACCCCTTTACCTCTCTGTCCTCGCTCCCGATTCTCCTTTTCTTTCCCGCAACATCCAGGGGGGGGGTCCTTCCGCCCCTCCTCCCTTTTCCGAAGCGCCCCCCCCCAGTTACGGCGCAGAGCAGCAATCCGGCCCAAAAGCTCCACGTCCGGGAGAAGAAGGCAGTTCGGGAGGGAGGCTCTCTCCGCTCATTCCGGAAACAGAAGCCGGATTGCGGGGAGGAGGAAGAGGTGCGACATACGGGGGGCGATTGAGGATTGTGGGGGCGGCGTGAAAGCAGGTTGTGCCGGGAAGGCAGGGAAAGAATTGTTTGCGGGGGAGAGAAAAAGGTTTTTCCCCTCCTCACTTACTTCTGGGGCTTAGGAGACCGCGGGAGGGGCTGATCCTGGGAATCCAGCTGCAAAGTGGGGTCCCCCCTACAATGTTTACATTGCAAAATCCTTCCCTCCCCCCCCACACGCCATGATCTTAGATCCATTCCATGTTTTTGGTATTGGTGCACATTGAGCAGCGGGTTAGGCTTTGTGACTCCTGTGTTACGGAAAAAATAGGGCTTGGGCTTTTGCACACACACACACACAGAGAGAGAGAGAGAGAGAGAGAGAGAGAGAGAGAGAGAGAGAGAGAGACCCGACACAATTCCTCCCTTGTGTCTCTCTCCGTCAGAGGTAACACAATGCGGCCCGGAAGAAAGCAAGGCAGCTGTTGATCTGTTTGCAGGCAGAGCCCCCCCCTCCATGCGAGGAGTGAATCAGCCCATAACTAAAGCGCGTTGCAATTTGTACACCCTCAAATAATCGGCCCCCCCTGTCACAGAGAGAGCACCCCAAAAACATCCCCGGTTGTGCCACAAAGTGAGTTGTACATGGAAATCAGATCAGATTTCCTCCTGGCACCTGAGTATCATTGGCCATACCTAGGAGTCCCTTAGGAGTCCTAAGGGACGGGGGTGGCACTGTGGGTTAAACCATTGAGCCTAGGACTTGCTGATCAGAAGGTTGGTGGTTCGAAGCCCCGTGATGGGGTGACCTCCCATCCCTCCCGTTGCTCGGTCCCTGCTCCGCTCCCATCGCTCCCGTTGCTCGGTCCCTGCTCCTGCCAACCTAGCAGTTCGAAAGCATGTCCAAGTGCAAGTAGATAAATAGGTACCGCTCCAGCGGGAAAGTGAAGGGTGTTTCCGTGTGCTGCTATGGTTCGCCAGAAGCAGCTTAGTAGCCAGAAGCTACTTTGATACGGCAGACTGCAGAAGAAGCCAAGGAAAAGCAGCTGTTGTGGAAGGTAAAATTACACAATTGGAAAAAGAGAGTGTACCAGTCCTACAGAGGCAACTTGAGGATCATAGGTTGACGCTTTCTATGATTGAGCTTAAGGAAAAACAGACAAATTTGAGGATCAGAGCTCTACCTGAATTGGAGAAGGATAGTTTAATAGATTTTCTCACGCAGGAGCTTGTGGATTTCTGGGACCTGGATTTTGAGCAGGAGTGCTTTGAAATTGTGAGAGCCTTTAGACTAGGAAGAGGAGGGAAGAAAGAGAAGAATAGAATAAGAGGAACTGTTTGATTACCCTGGGCCGAGCTAAAGAAGAGAGGAGATAAAATTTTTGGGCTGGCGATCTACCTGAGAGCCTCGTGGGATAGTATTACAGTCAAGAGTGGAAATTTCTTAAAGACCATCCTCCGAAATTCTTTTTGGATCTTTAGGTTTCAAATACAGTGACTTGGTTGCCCTGCTGAGAAAGAACAAAATCAACTTTAGGTGGGAATTTCCCCAAGGTCTATCCTTCAGTTTCA